TAAAGGTGATCAGGTTGTGATAAGAAAACATGGTTTTATTTATTCGCGGAAAGGTTTAACCTTTTGTCTTGTCATCCCTTGGTTTGTTGATTTGTTGGATGGATGGACGGTTGGTTGGATGGTTGGTTGGTTGGTTGGATGGTTGGTTGGTTGGTTGGTTGGATGGTTGGTTGGTTGGTTGGATGGTTGGTTGGTTGGTTAGATGGTTGGTTTGTAGGTTTGTTGGTTGGTTGCTCTGTCGGTCAGTTGGTTTGGGTATGACCATGTGATGCAACAGTTAAGTTGTTGCATCAACTTTTATATTCCCTTATTTCCCAAAGAAGAAGGTCCTAAGCCAGAATAGCATTGCTTGAACTTTATATGTTTTGTTGTGTCTGAATGTTGCTGATTGTGACTTATGAAACTCACACATGTATTTTTGTTCATTAAAGTTGTGCAATTCAATAGGATGAATTGTTTGACTGGTCTACTGAGTGTGACATCTTTCTTTAAGAAATTACTAACTATTACGGGTCTTATTGTTTTGATCTAAAAGCTTATTATCAGAGAAATTTTCGTTATCTAAACAATGCGATGCTCCAAAGTAAGTGGGTTTTCTTGAAAAAAGGTGTTCATGAGATATAAGTGTTCCCAAAGGTAGGTGTTTACTAAGCAATACTATATTCTAGTATATGTTAATTCAAAGATTAGGATATTCATTAAAGATTTTCACTGAATGTAACACATAAAGATTAGATTGTCACTAATAGAAGACATCTTGATTGCGACATCCATTCCATTAATGTAATTTATAATATAGTACGTCTCTCAATATGATTGGATTCAATCCCATAATCCCATAGTGCTCCTATCATGCCACAACCATCTGCTGGTAAGTAAACATCTAGATCACGAACAACAACAGACTAGTATGATGAATTAATATGACCCATAACTGAAGAATATTTCATATTATGCAAATATGAAAGTTGTATCATCCATATATAAATCCACTAGATTTATTGTGATATAATAATCCGACACTTTTTAATCAACCAGGAGTAAATAAAGCATTCATATTAAAAAATTCAAGCCCCGGTAAATCATAGATCCCTTGATAAATTGAGTTTGATTAAAATGTGAATATATGAGATCTCAAGATTCCTCCAATGTTTGATCAATCTAAAAATGTTGAAGTTGCAGAATCAGTTGCTATGGCAACAAAAGGAAGATGAAATTTTTGAAGTGAAACAATACCGCTATGCAAAAACACTTGTTCTCTTTGCAAGTCCGTTTTGATATTTGGCATGATTCCTCTGCTTTATAAGCTGAAACAGCTGAACTTGAAATATGATGATATTCTACGATGTCACTCTAACCTGAAGTTCCGTCTGCTCTACAATGATGAAGAAGGCGCCAATGTTGAGAGCATGAGAAGATGACAAATCAATGTTTGTAAAATGCAATGGAATGGAAAACTGATAATCTGTTGAATATTCCTATTCCAAAAGGTTACCACGGTTACGACAATACAGTATTAAAGTATAAATCAAGCAATAGCAAAGAAAATTGCAATTGATTACTTTTTGTGGTAGGCGACAAATCTGGCAGCTATACACATACTGCTGTACACTATTGAATTTGTGCTATATAGAGTTAAGTCAAGGATGAGCTAATGATCAGCAATTTAGAAATCAATTCAGTAGCAAATCTGTGATTACACCAGGGTCATGTGAGTAGTTGAGAAAACGACTATTCCAAACCAGTGAAATAACCATGTAAGGGTTGATAATATTAGGAGATATGCAAATGACTCAGGGAACCTTGATGAAACGTTAGATTGGCAATCTAACAGAACAGACACTGGTAATGTGAAAGTTCAAGACTGACTGGAAAGAAGATGATCTGTAGAAGAAATAGGAGAATGAGTATATGATAAAACCACGAGGTTATCCAGAAGTTCCCTCTGCAACACGTATACAAAGGTTTTAAACATCAAACAATTTGAAGACATTTGGAGGATGTAGATTCAGTAGTTAATCATGCTCCTTAACTGAACAGACCTGTTTCTGCATATGACAAGTGCAATCTTGCGGAATAACTACAACTAATGAATGCAGACCTATAATCAAGCGCTGGCATAGACGATGTCCTTAATGAGATTACATGTAAGTACTCCCTATGTGAGTCAAAATGAAGCATTGTAGGCCTATGCCGTTATATGTCATTTAGAGGATTTGGATCAACATTTCTCAAATAACCTTCACAATATGAGGTCATTGCTCTGGATAGCAGGATGTTTCTTTTTGTTCAGAGGAAAAATACAATTATTTGATGGGATAGAGAGACATGCCTTAATACTGAACATCTTCAGATCGATGTTATGATAGTGTAATAACATAGCAAGTAAAAACTCAGCTGCATATTTATCAATGCAATCAATGCTATAGAAAAAAGTAGAACAATATGCTAAAAATACATAAATAAGAATATCAGTTTTATTATGGCTTACGGAGCAATATGACAGTATTAACATGTGCTAATGCAATTGAACATGTTCCACTCAGAGAAAATGATGATGCCACTGTATGACAAATGGATATAACTCACTCCTGGATTCTTAAGTCAAAGATACAATGGCTGTCTTTGCTTGGTGTATGCCTGAATGTTACATCTAAGGAGGTAGAGCTAGAGACATCAAGCTGCATGTATAGGAAACAAAACAGTGAGGCCATTCTGGCCAATCGCAAGCGAGTATCATGGATTCAGCTATTGTCAGTGGTCACGTTTTTGGTGTTGTCTTGTCACTGAAGCTATCATACCATCTGTATTGTATTGTCACTGAAGCTATCATACCATCTGTATTGTCTTGTCACTGAAGCTATCACACCATCTGTATTGTCTTGTCACTGAAGCTATCACACCATCTGTATTATATTGTCACTGAAGCTATCACACCATCTGTATTGTATTGTCACTGAAGCTATCACACCATCTGTATTGTATTTTCACTGAAGCTATCACACCATCTGTATTATATTGTCATTGAAGCTATCACACGATCTGTATTGTATTGTCACTGAAGCTATCACACCATCTGTATTGTCTTGTCACTGAAGCTATCACACCATCTGTATTATATTGTCACTGAAGCTATCACACCATCTGTATTATATTGTCATTGAAGCTATCACACGATCTGTATTGTATTGTCAATGGTATTGTCATACTATTAGTATTGTTATACCATTATTATAACCACATCTAAAATATAAGTATTGTCACACCATTGGTATTGTTAAACTACATTTGTGTTGTCATTCCATTGGTATTGTTAAATGTTTATACTCTTTGTATTGTCATACCATGAGTATTGTCACAACATTGGTATTGTTAATTTGTTATACCCTTTGTATTGTCACACTATTTGTAGTTTTATACTATTTGTATTGTCACATTATTGGTATTGTCTCTGTTATACCATTTGTATTGTGACATCACCAGTATTATCACATCATTAAAGTATTGTTACAGTATTGAAACCGGAAACAGTGAAATCAAGTGTAATAGTCAGAGGGAGTTTAGTTATATCATGTTGAGTCAGGGTAGTGGGGCTATTAACCGCAATACATTCACATTAAGATGCATGTCACGCCCATAAGGAGTATAGGTATAATGCCATTTAGAAATTGAATAAAAGCAAATTTTGATGTCTATTATGTGGCATCAGTGGGGAGAAAATAAGTCTCCTGATTTTATTGTGCTCCTTTAGAGTACACTACATCATGATTGAGAAGGACAAAAAAGATATTGAATATATCTTATATACTTTATATCCAGTGTTGAATAGATCAAAAAATATAGTTGAAACTAAATTATTCATGTCTGCCTTAGAAAAGAAAATATACAATAGATGTGTCTAATTAAGTCTAAACGTGGTATTCAGATATGGTTTAAAGAGCAGGTCTAAGGGGACTGTAGCAGAATTTGTATTCAACAAGTGAGCTTGCTTCCCTTGATTGCGCCTTATATGCACCCATGCTCTAATAGGTGGCCAAGGCTACTATTTCTTGAATCCGTGTTTCATGTCATATTGGCATATCAGTTTGATTTTCCATCATAGGTATGAAAGTTCATTCCTTGGAAATCCAAGATGTTTAACTTCGGTTGACCTGACAAATATGTGCTATTACATTTTCCAGACAGGCAGGCAGAACTGATTTTGATAAAATAATGTTTCCTTTTAATAATGTTTATTCTCTCGTCTTCACTTTTCGTATTTTTGAATTTAAGAAAATGTATACAACCTTTATGTACGAGTTTTGTAACCCTCATTTTAATAATTTTTTTGATCAAGTTTGATTATAGAATTGCATAAATACTCAACAAGAAAATTCAAAGGGTAAAAGAGATGTGGTTTTATTCTGTAGTACTGTAGTTATCTAGACATATTTGATAGAATGACAAACCACATTTTCATATCAATTCAATTCTTTCAAAAGTTTATTATATAGAATGGGTTGTTCAAAATGAAAAGAAAACCTTTTTTGAATTTCAAAAAATTTCAAATTAATGTGCCTCAACCCCTTATTCAGATCCTATAATACCCCCTTTTAAGAAATCACGATGACCTCTAACTTTTAATATCAATAGTGATACAAATCTTCATTTCTGTAAATATATCAAAGCTTTATAAGATTTTATAGACACACTTAACCCAAACATTTCTAAACTTCTCAAAATGTGTAGAAATTGAAGTACCTCCCAGGTAAGGAATTTGTAAGCTTTGATATGGTAAGAAGAGGTTCTTATCATATGTATTTTATCCACCTGCTAGTGTAACAGGTTTCATGAATTTGATTTTCAAATGTTAAATTTTCTTTCTGCATTTTGATCACTTAAGCTGCCAAATTTGTAACACAAAGTTGCCTCACTGCCAATTGTATTTCACTCTAATGGTAGTTGAGTGATCACCGAGTGATTGACTACATGTTTAATGTTCAACTGTTCTACGCTTGCAGGAGCCCACAGTGGAGATAGATGTCCATGAGACAGACTCTATGAGTGGTGACACAGAGAAAGGGGACCCCAGTGGGTGGGTGGAAGAAGGAATAAACATGTTGGACAGGTAGGAACAATATCTTATCTATATCTATCTTATCATTTTTTTAAGATGCTGTTTAAGTACGATCATTTTGATGTGCCCCATTCTGTGATTCAGTACAGTGATCTCCACAGCATTAAAGCTATTGGGTGCAGCACCCAACTGAGATTTTGATAATAGGCTTGCACCCACCTGAAAATCCATTTGCACCCACTTGAAAATGAGAAAAATCATGAAAAATGGGCATATTTTGACCAAATTTGGCCTGATTTGTGAAATTGTGAATTTTGCACCCACTTGAGTTCACAAAACCTTGTGTTGTTTTTAGGGAAATTCTAGTAAAACCCCTGAATCATTTTCACATCATTTTCCCAATTCTGTTACATCACACCATCTTCTTATATCCCCATTGTAATTCAGCAAAATAATCATGTTAATAATGTCCTCATTCTATGATTCAACAGAATTGTTATCACATGCTCTCATTCTATGACTCCCAGTCTATGATTCGGCACACTCATCTTCTCAAGTCCCTATTCTGTAGCACACTCATTTTCAATTGTTCCAATTCTATGATTCTCCCGTTCTGTAATTTCGCACAATAAATGATTCGGCACAATCACCTCCTCATGTCCCTGTTCTGTAATATAGCACAATCATTTTCAATTGCTTCCAGTCTATGATTTCCATTCTATGATTTGGTGCAATCATCTTCATGTTCCCATTTTGCAACATTACAATAATTTCCACGTGTTCCCATTCTGTCGTTTAGCACAATCATTTTCACATGTCCCCTTTCTGTAGTTTAGCACAACCATCTTTACATGTCCCCACTCAATGATTCCGAACTGTCATTTGCACATTTCCCCACTGTTCTGTTTTACAGATACAGACTGAAAGATGCTGAGGCACTCTTTCTAAAGACACTTAAGTTCATAGATGAACCCACTATGGAAGAAGAGAAACTAGTGGTCCAGGCACTAAGTGGGCTAGCAGAGGCTTACCAGAGGTAAGGTTTCAAATAAAAGACACTAGACTCTATATCTTATCAGATCTTATGGCAAAAGTGAAACACTTTTATACCAGCAGGATGTAAGATATTCTGCACACACTAGATATTGTAGTTTTGAACACTTTTAGATCTATTTACCAATACAAACATTTTATAGCTATATAGCTTTATATCGTTAACAGCAATTTTGCTTCAGATTAATTTCTCATGATTTCGAACAAACGAAAAAGCTATGTTATTTTCTAGGGGTGCGAGAGGTCTGAGGAAGTCATCGACCAAGCAGAATCCTCATTTAAACATATTTCCCCGATCAGCAAAGTAGACATATGTTTGGTTATATTCGCCCCAGTTTCTGCAACCAAGCTTTTTACGCAATCACTGATTCCCATTCCCCATGCCCTGTATCCAATATTGCCAGTCTTTCAACGTTGACCTCTATTTCTTTATCTACAAATGAAAGCAATAAGCATGGATGATATCTTGCCTCTATGAATAATTCATTATTCTACATGATATCTGAGATTGGGTTGTCTTTGATTGGACTCTCGATACAATCCTTTGATATCTCTCCTTATATACCTAATTTTGCCTCTCTGTTTAAGCCCTGTTTGTTTGGCTTTATCCCTTTCATTTGTATTAATTAGTTTGTTTGTTTAGAGTAGGAGTTTATTGCATTAGATTATATTAGTAATTTAGTATCACTTTTGATGAGTTTAAATTGAGAATCACTCAATGAATAAAAAGATCTGTTGTGTTATTAGTCTAATTAGCTGAAATATTCTTCAAATGTTGTTTCTAATTTAACCCTTGTACTAGTGAAAGGCCCCATATATTTTAGTAACATACTGTAAAACATGTTCCTTCGTATGTGAAATATGCTAAAATCACTTATTATGATCAGGTTCTTGAAATCATTGACAAAAAAATAATTCCATCGGGGGGTGAAATACTGAGAAATTCAAAAAATGGGGAGATTTTATACTTTAAAAGGACATGTTTTACAGTAGTCCATTTGTAGGTGTTATAAAAAGATCTGCATACATAACAGATTGAGTTATGTTTAATCATATATGTCCCTATGCTTCAGGCTTGGTAACTCGCTACAAGACGATGAGATTAGATGGCAGTGGATGTACATCCAGGCGATGACCTTGATGCAGCGTTCCATCAGACAATGCCTAGAGTCAATGAAACAACTCCTGGACAATGAAGACTTCATCTGGTTCGTTGAACAAAAATACAGCATCGATTCCAGATTAACAATTCTTGAGAATACATTCCAGAAATCTCTAGAAGATAGTGTTTCGAGGATTTTTGTTGAGGATAAAAATCGAGCGATTGCCCTTATATGGCAGAGTATAAAGAATCGTGGTAAGCGAGAACAGCCTCTCATGGGGATCAAATGGATTGATGAGCTACAGAAGTATTGTTATAAACGTGTCGAACATCCAGAGAAGGCTGTCTCTATGGAGTCCATACAGAGTGACAGGTCAAGCAAAAGTAATCGTTCCGCCCGGAACAGCACAAGTGAAACCTCGGAGAGTGTCAACATGAATGATATCCACGATTCAATGACACCCTCATATGTTGCGGTCGATGAAGGACCATTGAATGATCCATTCTTTGATATGACTGTACGGGAACGTAAGACACATTGGGAGCACTATGACGCCCCACACTCCCCAACCTCCCCGATGTCTGTCCGCAGTGACATCTGGGACCTAACACCTGATAAATCCCACAAGGACTTTGAACAGTTCAATGAACCTGAATGGACTTTAAATGATAAGGAACTGGGAGGAGATGAGAATGAGGACTATGGCTATGTGATAACTGTATATAAAGCCTACTCTCCATCAAATATTGAACCACCCAGTCCTGATAGAAAATCATTTCCAATGAAGGCTGCCTATGATAACCTTTCACCTATGACTGAAGCTGTTAAATTCAATAGCAATAAAGCAGTGGTTCCTTCTAAGATTCCTTTACCAAGCACTCAGATAATAGATGGCGATGCCTTACCCCACCTGGCTCTATCTAAGGAGCGATATTACTTCACTCTCGCCCAATCTCTCTGTAGACTCGCAGATAACTTCTTCAAAGCAAAAAAATACAAAGTTGCAAATGACGTTTATGAGCGAACAGTTGGGTTATTTAAAGATTTCCCAAGAGATGAGGAAAGTTATACTCTGATGGCCAACACACTTAAAACAGTGGGAATCATCAAGTGTAAAACAGGGGACATTATAGGAGGCATGCACATGATGCAGCAAGCAATCCAGATATTCCATCTTCTCCAAAGCGATGAATCAAAGGTGAACCTGGCGTCATCATGGTATGAACTCGGGAACACTTTCATAGAGGAGGAATGGACCCAAGATACCATTGTGGAGCATGTGATGAGGCAGCTAAATGAAGCAGTTGAAAATGAGGAGTCTGATGAGGCAAACCGTACAACATATGACAGTGATAGTGATACAGAATGTGATGAGGACCAGTACGTTGTGGGAGCACTGGAGGCGAGGACATGCTACCAGAATGCAGTCGATACTCTCAAACAGATGCACATTGTAAACATAGAGCAGCGTGATGTACTAGCTAGATCTCTCACCCGTATGGGGAACTGTAACGCAATGGCTGGTGATTACGATTCGGCTCTGAGCAACTTCGAAGAAGCCCTCAGTCTGTTCAAGACAACTTATGGAGTCGATAACCTCAGTGAAAATGCAAACATCATGACAATGATGGGAGTTGTCTGCTTCCTGTTACGACAATACTCCAAGGCTGCCACCATGTACGAGGCAGCGATAATCATCTTGAAGAACCTCCAAGGAGTTGACGAACCAAAGTTTGACTATGCCTTCAACCTTGGTCTACAAGGGATCGCTTACTATGCAATGAGAAGCTATGACAAATGTGTGTCTTCATCCTTCCAGGCATTCGAGACATTCTCTTTGATCTACCATGATAAGTTGATGAGGCAGCCTCCCATCAAGCATTGGTTGATCTGCCAGAGTCTTTACGTCCTGGGACATTCCTATGGGAAGCTGGATCTATATGAGAAGGCTCTCTACTACCTAGGTCTGGCCAAGACAATGTTAGGCAGGATCAAGGCACCAAGCAATGTTCAGGTTAGTAACAAAATTAAGAAAACAATGGCATTTTAAAAAACAAAAATGACATTTGAACCATACAGTCTTGAGAAAGTCCATAGATCTTGTAACTATTTCTTCTGTGATATTATACTAACTATTGCCTTCAAAACCACTGTGTGTTGAATGGTCTATAATCAAATTTGTTCTCTATTGACATGTGGTTCCCGGAGAGGGTTAAAAACTGTTTCATGTAGACAGATTCCTTACAGAGGCGTTTCATCTGACACATTTTACTGTGCAACATATTAATAGAAACCAGAAAATAAAATGTCAGTTAATACTATTACATAAATTCAGTATAAAATCTGTGTTTCAGGTTGTCCAGATCATTAAGGCACTGGCTGACAACTATTCTGCCACGGAGAAGTATGAAGAGGCTCTCCAACACTACAACGAGGCCCTTGAAATAGTAGATCGTGACACCACTCACGGACCACTCAGAGTTCTCCAAAATCAGCTCCTCAATAAAGTAGCGAATGTCCATGTTTCGATGAAGAATTATTCCAATGCGGCATCTTTTCTCGAACAAGCATTGAATACGCAGAAAGATGTGGAAGCTGATATTAAAGATGACATGTGTGAATTGTTAGAACAGTTGGGATCTGTGTACATGATGACATGTGAAATAGATAAAGCCATTGATTGCTTTGTAGACTGTTTGGACCAGAACCAAGAAATCAATGGAGTTCACAGTTTCGAAATGGCTTCCGTATGTGGTAACCTAGCAACATTGTACCATATAAAGGCATGCATGGCAGAAACGGATGACATCGAGGGATATGTCCGATTGGCTGAGACGTACTATAGAGATGGCATGCGTTTGGAGACCAATGCAACTGTTTGCGTGAGATATGCTAACTTCCTGTACCATCAGGGCCTAGAGGGTGATGCAGCTCTTACCCTGGAACCCGTCCTCCACCCACGACGCACCAGATCTTCTATCGTGATGGTAGAGGATGTCGATATGGTCCTGAGTGGGCTTGAGCAAGTTATCCTACCAGACATGTTAGAGAAGGAGATAGAAGAACATGGTGAGATTACTATCCCAGCCAGTCTCTATGCCAAATACCTGGCTGTACTCTGCTACAAGCAGCTCAAGTTAATGTCTGATGCCGAGGCCATCGTCACCGCTATGATAAAAGATGCCAATGAAGCAAACACACATATCTTCTACTCAGTGCTAGGGTACGCATTAATGGAAATGGGTACATTTGATGCGGCTGCTAAAAATTTCGATATAGCTGCCAACATGTTAGACTCAATGGATGCAAAGCTTGCCAGAGAGAATGCTTCCATGTGCCTTGCAACACATCTCTATGACACATCCAGCCAAGGTCTACAAAACGTCTATGAGTATGCTAAGCGAGCTCAGAGAAAAGGTACCCTACCTCGGATTATTGTACCCACTAAATATAAGACTGAATCAGAGAGAATCTCTCCTGAAAGTGGCTCAAACTCTCAATCTTTCTCCTCATCCATTTACAGCAGGGACCATTACTATAGTAACGGAACTGACACTTACTCCCAGAATCGTTACCCTAGTAACGATAATGAGACATTTTCAAGGAATCGTTTCACTAATGACAAAAGTGACACCTATTCCAGTCGTGATACTTACTCTCGGGACACTTTCACAAATAATGGGAACGAGTCTCAATTGGACAATGATAACAGAGTAACAGACCGCAACAGGAATGAGAGTTTTGGGAGTGATAGATCATCAAGGAGTAGTATAGGGGATGAGCCTATAGCTTGGTCCCCTAGACCTTCACCCTCAAGGTCTCCTGCACACACACGCTTCAACTATAGTTATGGGGGACCCTACCATTGAAAGGACTCTATCCTATCACCTTTAATTATATCTCTAGGACCCCACCACTATAACGATACCATAACTATCACTATAACGACCTATCTAATGAGAGGACCCTACCATATCACTGAGAAGGGTAATTTTGTCACCAAATTTGGGAGATCCTTTTGAATTGTGGGCAATTCTTTTAGTGAATCTTGGTAATTCTATTAGCAAATGCGGGTGATTCTGTCAGTGAATGTGGGTCATTCTGTTAGTGAATTCCAACGATTCTGTTCATGTGAGGGTCATCATACACATAGTAATAGGGAACCCATGCCACTCTGGTTATAGCAGTATAAAACTCATTAATTTGTATATTTAGTACATACTGTATTTTAGTTCGACAGAGTCTGATTAGATGGTGCTATTGTATAATAATGAAGAACAAATACATCTTGTGTAAACATTTTTGCCTTTTTAATTAATATTCATTTCAAAATCCCGTCCTAAGATAAACTGATTTCAGACACTGCGTTGATTTATTGATGACTCTTCCAAAAATTCTATAATTTTTCAAATTTTTGTGTTCAAATCAAGACTCTTAGATCATCCTTATAATCCCCATTTTTACAGCTTTATACAATAGTCTACTTAAACATCTCACACATTGAGTCAGTACCCACAATAGACAGTTTGTACTTACATATTACTATATTAAGGTAGTACTCACACCTTAGAGCAGCTTTTGGACAAGAACTTGCATAGAATTAAGAATTTTTTAGTGGTTGGGTAAATATATTAAAGTGTGCGCCTGACCCGGCTACGTATAGCACAGAGTTTATACTGGAGGATTAGACTAGTTCATTTTTTATATGTGTGTGAAAGCTTTCTCTTATTTGCGTTTTTTCGTTTAGTACGGTTTTGTTATAATTGCCGAGGTCATATAACCGGGATAAAACAATGATTATCGTTGACTGCCCACACACAAAACATACGTTGAGTGAACAGTGTTATTACAAACAACAGGCTTTAGAATACAAAGCGTAGTGTGATAATAAGCTGCACACTACCACTGCTGCATGTACATATTACTAATTTACTAGGGCTCCCAAAGAGTGGATAGGGAGGTTGTGTTCGTCACTTTTAAATTTTACATTTCAAAATTGTCATTTTACATGTCATAATTTGTTGGTTTCATTCGTTTAGCCAATCAAAACATTGTAAAACAATAAATTGTCTGTTACGTACAATCAATTTTGTTCAGTTTTGATTAGTTGTCAGAATAAAGTTACGTTCATCTGAATCCATGTATCAAAACAAAAATCCTATTTTCACTTCAAAATACTTCAGTGAGATGAAGGCTCGGAATTGTCACATGCAATAACTTATTGTCGTATTCGTTATTTTATCTTCTCGATAGTAGCATTTAGTCGCACATTTGATGCCAGGTCACCTTGTCGCGTACCTCTTGGGGAACCCCACATTTATGTGTGTACTCATGGAAGTAAATTCCCCGGTGTAGCCGAGAGCCACAAACTTTTCAACAGGTTCGAAATGACCAATTTCTCTCATATATACTCTAAATATTTTATTATTTAGCACCTACAAAGTATTGCTAATAACCATATGTAATTTCAATAAGGAAACTTATCTGGCTACATATAAATTCAATAACAACACTAGCTGTTCTCTCAACACGTCCTGGCTTACCTTGTAGTGACAAACCCTGGATTTTCGCTATTTATAGTTTATCAACACCTGGACGCATGCGCATTTTATACTTTATCGGGCACTTTAATGTCCTTCAAATGATTAAAGTCTGCATGTTTGGAATTTTGCTGCATTCCTCAATTGAGTCACATGTTATTTTTCAAATAGGAATCACTCCTTCCCCACATTGTCTACATCTTTTAGCTTTGCACAACGATTGCACTAATGAACCTAGAAAAGACTGTTTTGTAACATGTATAAAAACGAGAAAATTCATTTTTTATAGATTTTACAAAAAATCTTCTTTACAGTCTTTTCTAGGCACATAAGTGCAATCTTTGTGCAAAGCTAAAAAATGTAGACAATGTGGAGGAGTGATTCCTATTTAAAAAATAACATGCGACTCAATTGAGGATTCCAGCAAAACATGCTTGAGATACAATACGTGAGGTATGGCACCTTTATTGTGTTATCTGTATGATCTTTTTCAGTAAATCATTTATTTTTTATTGTAATCATGGGATTATCATCTGATAATTTCTCTTATATGCCTCGAATATATCAAATATCTCTCTTTCACCTCGCTTACTTGTACTGATATTTGATATCAACTCGTCGAGAAAAATGATATCACTCAAAATTTCAAACTAAAATTAATGATGTTATTGATGAGTTCACCCAAACTATCACTTGAGAAACAAATATTTCAGTTGATAAATTTTGTTCATAATATTCAATTGTTTCTGTATGACATAATCTTAGCAGCTTTGTATATTTTGTAATGTTTATATGGCCATATTTGGTTGGCTACATTGTTTATATGGCCATATTTGGTTTGCTATATTATGGTGTAATGTGTATATAAAATTGCAGGCAATATTTGTTACTGTTCAATAAAATATTTTGTATTCATAACATAATAAAACTGTTTGTATAAATATTAAATATTTAAACATTTCATTAATAAACAATTTATAGAAATTGAAAGTTCCAAAAATGGGAGAACATAATCGATTCTCAGTGACCATTTTCTTAGACTGTAAACATTAAGAAGCCCCATTCTCTTTGGACGAGCTGAAAATTGAAATCTTTTGGAACAAAAATATCACAATATCCAGCTAAAAAGATATCTACTGTTAATCCTGCCCTCTTTTGTCGAAGTAGAGAAACCTGGAGTACATGACTAAAATATTCTTGTCTACAAACCATAGCAAGGATTACAAGGCATAAACATGTTAAATATACCACCTACCATTTGTTACAAACACCAACAACTGAACGCCAACTGCCACCACAAAAAAAGTTGAAGACTATAACAATAAAGGGACTAATAAAATTATGAATTTTGTATCTTTACAAATTCTTCAGGAAATCTGGTAATGTACTCCTTGAACAGTATATTGACCAATTTTACCTAAAAACTAATATATGAAACAGTCCAATAGAGAGTACAATTGACTCATTAAAATGTCACTGTAATTGTCATTCATTTGAATTATTAAAGTTATTATATCCTTCAGGAGAATGAAGTGAATTCGGATGATGATGTAAAATGAGGAACTCGAGAAATGATTGGTTATTTCTGGTCCTATAAGCGAGCGGCCTCTTAGAAAATATTCTTGTATACTCATTATAGTCGACTCTGCATTTGAAACAGGACCCAATTTTGACAATTCAAAGTTTGACTATTGCCTATGGACAACTGAATTTATCAATCGGTATCTCCAAATTACAATGGCCCTGATTCATGTCCATTCCATTCCAGAATAGTGTCCAAAGACTGACTAAGAGGTTGCTATCATCACTTCACAACCATTTTGTCCTGGTGTAAAGTCAATTATATCTTCCAGCCTGACATAAGGCAAATCTTCAATATCTCTGACATCTGAAACAAAAAAAATGTATATTGTTTTCATGATTAGATAAGGGACAGGGTCAGCATTTGTGTAATGCTGCAACACACCTAAAACTATTCTAAAATGCCCAATATTAAATAAAAAAATAATATCAAAACAGTCTACTGTTTGCAATCCTTTTCTGTTAATACAAAAGTGATCCCAGGAGTTGAAGCAGACTATTAAATCTATTGTTTGAGGAAATTACAAATTATTTTGGTGTGCTTCAAGATCAGAATTAAAGACTGGTTATCATGAATGGAAATAGAATTAAGCACCCAATTGAAAGAAGATCTCACTAAGTTCCTGTCCTAAACATGTTCAATATTAATTTCCTGTTTGTAGAACATAATTAGTAAGGTTAGGCTTGTATTTTAACTAGACAACAGCAACACCAAAGCGTAGCAAATCCAATCGAACAGCCATGGATGCCATTTTTACAAAATCCTACTACTTTATGGTAATAAAATAACTCACATAAAAATGACCACCATTTTCAAAATGGTCGCTTACAAGCCAAATTGTCATAAGAAAGTGTATTATGCTTCAAAGTAGGTCCATATAAAATTTTGACAATATTGCTAACATGTACTTGTAAATGGCAGTCATTTTTCAAATATTCAATTACTGTATACTAGATACACTTAATGTGTTCATTTTATAGTATAATTCATATCAACATGTTACCTGCAGGATTAAACAATCCCCAAATGGGATGTTCTTTTCTTGAGGAGGCACTCCTTGCATTCTTTCTCTTAACCCCATCAGATGAAGCTCTTTCGTGAACTTGAGTTCTCTTTTGGCTTTTTGAATTACTTGGTGGTCTATCATCTTGAGATCTCGCCCTTGGTTGCTGGTGTGATGTCGACCTGGGTGTTTCTTGACTCTGAGATCTTCGTTTTACTGTAGAGGGAGTAGATCCAGAATTAACATTTGGCTGGTCATGAGACACCAGTAAGGAAGACAATCGAGCTGATTCAACAGAGTCGGGTGCCAAGCGTTTTAACCTTACAGAAGGTGAGAATTCTTGCGGAATATCAAATGTTGGTGCAGTATTTCTATGTCCCTCATTTTCATGTTGTTTCCTTTGTTTTGTTTGATTTTGTTTTCTTTGTGAATGTTGTTTATTTAGGGGTGTTTTGTGCTTTGGGGAGGATTGTCTTTGGGAACTTGTAGTTTGTTTTTGTTTTCTGGTAGATGATGGTGTTCTCACATTGCTTGTACTTTCCTGAAACATAATGAATTCTTATGAATAGCTAACCAAACAAGGATAATTCTCAAAGTACATTAATATTCCAATTTTGTCATTTATTATACAATATTACATATTGTAAGCAGTGTTCAAAAGTATAGCATTCTTTTATCATCAAGCACGGACTAGAATCATCAGCCATCATTGTCAATGGTTCATTCAAGCTTAACCATTGCACACTAAAATTTACCCAGTATGCCCAGTACTACAACTAGATGCCACGAAGGATCCAAGAAAATTTCAAATCAATTTACCAAGTGCTTTGTCTGGAAACCTTCACGCAGATTGCAGACATGTTGACAAATGTTAACAAGATCAAAATTAACCAACTACAGGCTTCTGGATTGGCGATTATGACACACCTTGGCTGGAAAAGTGTTTAGTAACTAACCTGAACAATAGATGTGGTGTCCTCAACATCCCATGGGAATCTGGTCTGCTGTCTAATAACTGGAAAAACAACAGAAATCTTACTATTGTATGTACAGTGTATAATTAAGTGATGTCATTTCTCTATCAAACCTTTTTAATCATTAAACAGTATTTCCTCAAAAAACTCTAAACTTATGGATTTTTAGAAAATAGGCTTTAAGAATGATATCAGACAAAAAATACTAACCAAGATTAAGGAAATTTGCTTTCGAGATCTGATACTACACATATTTCTGGCTCTAAATGAAGAGAGATTTGATTTATTGTACAACCATTTATAACTAGATGTATACTTACTTTCATGTACCTCAGAAGGTGGTAGAAAATATCGTCCCAATATGACATTGTTCATCCCCCTCTTACGAACACATTCATTTACATAACTAGCATGAAACACTGCTAATTGGTCAATCAGATATGCGTCACTGTTATACAGCCTAAGTGAAGAAAAATATACACATGAATGTATCACCAGTCCACATTTAGTATGTATCCACATTTAGTATGTATCCATCTAATGAGATTCAGTCTGAATTTATTCAGACGAAGGATACAGTCTAAGTTCCAGTACCATATTACAGTTGCATTTATACTACTTATAAAGCATTCTAAGATATCAGTTATTCTTTGACACATGGTTATTTATTTATAAATAAGTGATTCGCAAAAAGATTAAAAGTTCGAATATTCTAAAGAAGTGTAAGACTAGTATTCATTGAAAATAATTAAGATTATTACCTTTTTGTATCGTCAGAGTCTGCCTTATCACTGAACAGGAAGAGGGCATCATTCTCATTTGCAAGTGTGCCACCATGATTTACTGGAAGTACAAATGATATATAACCCCTCTCAACATATACATGATCTCAACATGATATACAGGGTGAGCCTAAAAAAGGTAACCCAAACAAATCTGAATATCTCAGTCATCCATTACGGGTTTTAAATCATACTTGGTACAATTAAACCTTGTTCTATGTTCTTCCATTCAATTAAGTTTCATTGGTGTATTTTGAATGGTCACGATTCTATGGCCATTTTACAAAACATGCTCCTAAGTGCCAAAACATTCTAAAACCATGCAACCAATACAAACCCCCAGAATTTTACCTCTGGTAAATTCTTAGAACATGTGTATATTAACAACCCTATAAGTATCAGAGAGTTGAAACAAGAGATTAGAAGAAACATGAGACCCATTATACTACATATTTGTGAGCATGTAGTCAGAAAACTTCACCCCATGCGTTCAAGTTTGCCTCTAAAGACAAGTTCGACATTTTGAGCATGTTTTGTAAAATGACCATAAAATGCTGACCATTTCCAATAGGCCATTGAAACTTGGTTAAATGAAAGAACATTGAACAAGATTCAACTGTGCCAAATTATTATTTAGATCTGTTGGGTAACTGTTTTTGGCTCACCCTGTATGACATTTCTCAGCTCTGCTCTGACCAATAGTATCTCTCTCAACAAATATCAAAGGATATTATTTCTGTTCAACTTAACCTAAATATTTGCTCACTCTACATTACCCAGATCCAGATTTCTTAAAAATAATTGGTAGGTCTTCTAAGAATAACATGAATTTAGCAATCTTTTTCTACGTGTTCATCATCATTTCCAGGTAGTGGTTCATTTGAAAGATCTTTTAAAGTCACACAAAGTGTCAACTTTCAACTGGCCCAGTACCCATATTAATTTTCTTCAGAATGTTATAATGTAAACATTTTTGTATAACTATATTTATAACATTGGGTAAATGCACTTTATCGAATGCAGTACAATCACTTACCCCACAGGTCTTTCCTGGTGGCTGGGACGCTACTAGAGAACCAGGCAGTTTGGTTTTTAAAATAGTCAATACTGGCCATAAGGCAGCTGTGGCGATCAATACTGAAATAGTAAAGTAAATAAATGTAAATCTTTGTGTAAGTTCTATACTCTAATCATTTTCATATTCAGATTTAATGCATTAATAACAGTGAATTATGCTGAGTTTACACTATCATTTTCAAGAAGTCTAATGGCCTAGTCACATAGCCCGGCCGATGAGGTTCCGATGAGCCAGCGATGCAATTTTCACCGAACTCGGCCGAACACCGGCCGGACATCCGTGGCGTTTGTTGCTTAAAACCGCATCGGTGGCAGCTCGGTGAAATTTTAACTTCGGAGTTAAATTTCACCGGGCTCTCACCGAGCTCCCTCATCGCAGCCCCATCGTAACCACATCAGAACACACGTCGGCCGGTGCACGGCCGAGTATCGGTCGGTGTCCCGTGCATCTGAGACAACCAGAGGACGAGGTTTTTTTTAACGGACACCGGCCGAGCTCCGACCGAGCTCCGGCCGATGTGGGACAGAGCCTTGGAAAGTATAGTACCTGAAGATGTCCAGACGGAGTCCGTTCACGTCACCGAGCTCTGCTTCCGATGAGGAGAGCTCGGTGGCACCAAAAAAATCCACTGAGCTCTACCGATGCCGGACATCGGCCGGGCTATGTGACTAGGCCATTATGAAACAAGATTGAGTTTACAACTGCTTAAGATGTCTAAATCTTATCCAAATATGGAGACCCTATCTGTTGCAAGACTTACGCCTGGCGTAACCATTATTATCCTATGCCAAGTAGAGTTTTAGGGAGATAAGTTGGTAAGATAAATCCTGTATCCTGATTTTGAGGTTTCCATATCCAGAACCTCCATATCTCCCACTTCGGTGCATATCTTCCCGCTTCTGGTAATGCAATAAAATGACTTTTCATATGAATAATTTGTTTATTTTTATACCTTGAACTATTGAAATGGCCATATGCCCCTGGAAACTCTACTTGGTATAGGATAAAGCAGTTATGTGCGGTCAGTTTTGATATTGGGTTCATCCCTCGTGAGATATGCACATCTACCTTCGGTCCCTACGGTCCCTCAGGTAGATATGCATATCTCCCTATGGATAAACCCCATATTTAAAACCTCCCAGTACATAACCCTTATCTATGTTATTCAGTGTTTTTAAGTAGCGCAAGGATCCTGCCATGACCGTGGTAGTGTTATAGTGAAAGCCTGGCGCGACCATGGCCTCTTTATGACATTTATGACTTATTTCATGTTTCGCCCGTTGCTGTTAGTTTTTTATGGATTAACCTTATTGATTGATCATTTTAGAAAGTATGTGCTTTCGAATCGAACCTTCTTGTATGGGAGTAGAGATATAGTTTGTTCGCAAATTATTTATGAGTTAAAAATGAGTGTTTCGTTGTGAAATTAAGATACATTTTTATTTATCAATTATCAATGAACATGAGTACCATGTACATGTATACAGTATATTAGTCTTTATTTACATATTTAAGGTAGTTAAACATGAAGAAAATTGTCATTGCGGTGTTCTCTTGCTACTTTAATACAACCACGGTCATTAGAGGCCTATAAGTATTGTCACGGTCATATCAGACTTTAACCTTTCCACTGTCATGACAGGCTTTAACATTGCCACGTCATGACAGACTAAAGCTATCATTATGACGGTCATACCAGGCTTTAACATTGCCACGGTCATGACAGGCCTTGCGAGCATTGTGATGGGTATATCAGGCTTTAACATTATCACGGTCATGACAGGCCTTGTAACCATTATCACGGTCATATCAGGCTTTAACATTACCACGGTCATGACAGACGGTCTTGCAATATAATACAGCGTTGTCACGGTTATACCAGGCTTACACGATAACACTAACACGGTCATGACAGGATCCAATGCGCTACTTAAAACACTGAATAACATGGCGACAGTTACGCCAGGCGTAAGTCTTGCAATAGATAGCATGTGCAAATATGGTCAGTCGAGTAAGTGTAATTACTGAACATAAAGTTTACAGAGCTTGAGGATTCAGAGTATAATGAAATTTAATTCTTTAAAATCTGCAGTTTATAGTCAGTATGCAGTTGTGATTTGGTGCAAGCCCAAATGATCTATACTTTCTTCTCTCCAAGTTCAATAACGTAATCTAGAGTGTCCAGCAAAAAGTGGATGTGGTTCAAAATGCTGCAATCTGATTTGACTTTGAATAGTGAATTTCGAAATAATTGTCCGGCAAGTTCATTTTTGATGATTTAACTAAGTTCCTGTGTCATTTGAAAAATCTCAGAGTCAGAGAGATTCAGATTGAACCGAGTCAGACAATGTTCGCCGTGGGCTCTTTGTAAAGTGAAGTCAATATATTTCTGGAGCTTTTCCAAATACATAGAAGTATTAAAATAGGCCTAACAGATAATCGTACTTACAATAAATTGCATATTTTCACAGAATAATGTGTCAATTTGCCAAAATCGACAGCAAAAGGTTTGTTTACTTTTTCCTTCGAAATTACCGCGCTTCCGGTCTTGCGCACTTCTTCAGCCGCACTACTTTATTCAAAAGTAGGTCAAATCATCCGCATACTATAGCATAATCTTTTTTGCATTCAAATGAATAAGTCTTTTTATAGATAACCTATTACTAGAAAACGATATTTTCTACTTGAATTTATGAGTCATTTTCCTCTAAACTCTTCTATGAGAATAATAATAATGCACATTTTCTTCTTTGCGGAGGCTTGTTCCGGGTGTTCTTCGGTTACAACATCAGAAAGAAAGCATCCAAATATTTCACATTTCTAGTTCATTCCAACGCACATAGTTTCCCAATGGAGGTGAAGAGAAGTTCCGATGTTATCGGGTTACCTTCGGGATGGGTTCGAGAAGAAGTTGTACGAAAATCTGGTCTATCGGCAGGAAAAACTGATGTTTATTATTACAGGTCAGTTGTGTTCATTTTTTGATTTTCAATTCATCAAACTTTCAATATACTACTTACTGTAATCTGGATAGATATATTAGTAAGAATCTCAGGGTATTCCAGTGCTCGTTACTAGAGATAATCAATTGATTGTATGAAATTATTATTACATTAGTTTTAACCTCGAACCACAGGGGCTTGTCTCGAGGCGTCGGGCAAGCCCTCCGATGAGTCTACTGCTTATTAAGAGTATTAAGGGTGGTCGGTTTTGATGCTACCTGAAATTTGTAGAAAATGATTGTTAGATATATCAAGTAAAAATATATGGAATCCTTTCAATAATCGACATGCTGATTCAAACAACACTAAATAGTAAACTTACCTAAAATGGTAGCAATCCATCCACTTGTTGCTGAGAAATCTGAATAATTTGTTAAGAAGTGATTACACTGCAAGTACCGAATTTTTTTGCAGCCAAATTATTACCTCCAGAGTCGATTTCTTCCCCAAGACACGTCCACTGTTAAAAATTGGTAGTTCCTAGAGTTCTTTGTTTCCTTAGGTCCATTCCCGTATGTTATTTTTAACGGAGGACAGCCTATAACGACTGCTATACGCAAAAAGATGCATGAAATTAAGTTTCGAAACTGAAAGTTGAAAAATGGCGACTTTCCCGTGTTCTATGCATGCGCAGCGCATGCGCAGCGCATGCGCAAAAATGAAAGTACTTCATTCCCACAATTCAGAAGGATTCGAATTACTTTTAGGCGGTTGGTTCGGTTATACTTAGATACCAAATGAAAGATTATTGCCAAGGAATGGAAAACGTATTTCGAAGATGAGAGTTATTTGTTTTATCACTAAAGGAAAATATTTCCGCAATATTAGGTGCATCATGGGAAGGGACTGCTGTGAAATAATGAACGCAAGTGACATCTATCTAAAAATATATGTGTAGTTATTGCGCATGCGTTCATATAATATGAACTAATCAAATTGCTGGATTGAACGCACCTGCGCATAGAACACGGGAAAGTCTCCATTTTTCAACTTTCAGTTTCGAAACTTAATTTCATGCATCTTTTTGCGTATAGCAGTCGTTATAGGCTGTCCTTCGTTAAAAATAACATACGGGAATGAACCTAAGGAAACAAAGAACTCTAGGAACTACCAATTTTTAACAGTGGACGTGTCTTGGGGAAGAAATCGACTCTGGAGGTAATAATTTGGCTGCAAAAAAATTCGGTACTTGCAGTGTAATCACTTCTTAACAAATTATTCAGATTTCTCAGCAACAAGTGGATGGATTGCTACCATTTTAGGTAAGTTTACTCTTTAGTGTTGTTTGAATCAGCATGTCGATTATTGAAAGGATTCCATATATTTTTACTTGATATATCTAACAATCATTTTCTACAAATTTCAGGTAGCATCAAAACCGACCACCCTTAATACTCTTAATAAGCAGTAGACTCATCGGAGGGCTTGCCCGACGCCTCGAGACAAGCCCCTGTGCCTCGAACGACTTATCGTAACGACCCTTAGAATCACATGTCAGTGAAATTATTCATAAATCTACAAAATATTGAGTTTAGTTTCGAGTGATGGGTAAGACGTTGGACAGCATACCTAACAAACCGCAGCATACCATGAGTGCCATGAGCAGACACAATGTTTTTATTTTGTTTTTTGACCACAACACATTTCTTGATAGCTTCCTGGATGTATAAAATATAGATAAAACCATCATATGTTCTAAAAAATATAATTTGTAAAAATATGAAGCTTATATGTAGCTTTCTAAGGTGCTGTGAGGTTCTCACCAAAAACAAATTGAATAGAGACCAATAGATTGCCAAAAGACACATTTAATCTAAAAGTCTGATGTAAAGAATAAAACTCACAGGAGTCCCCACTTAAAAAAAATGTAAATGTAATCCACAGTTGAACTAACTAACAAATTAACAAAAGTCAACAAAGATTAATTATAATGTAAATGTTAGCTATCTTGGAGAATTATCAGTGAATTGCATATAATCGTCAATTGGATAAAAACTGGATAATTATCATACATGAGAGTGATGCTTCATTATAAAACAATTGAGATGTCAACCAACAATATCCACCTTTAAAAATCATGTCAAAAGAAACTTCTCAACCCAACCAAAGATATTTACAAATTGTCAAAATATTGATATTGATAGATTTTATGAAATTAGTTTGAACAGGCTTAGAGTAGGATTTCTTTTAAAATCACATAAATATGCTCATAACTTTCCTGGAATTTTGGATGACCTCTGTCAATGTGGAAAACCACAAACTACTGAACACTTTTTCCTTCACTGCAACCTACATATCGATGAAAGACTAACTCTACTTGCAAAACTTTCAGAGCTAAATGCAACTGAAATTTTTCTAGATTCAAATGTTCGAAACAAAATTGAATTTCTACTAAATGGAAATGACGAACTAAATATTGAAGAAAACCAAGCTGTGCTGCAGATTACTGCCAATTTTGTATTCAGCTGTAAATAACTATTTAATTTGTTTTCTGCTTATTGCCTAAACACCCCAGACAGAAAACCTGACACCACCCTTTAGTTTTTTTTGTTTTTTATAATTTTACTATGTTTGTTAAATAAAAACTGCCACCAATGTTTTTCAACTTCGGCAGTCATTACATGTGTAATTTGTATGTACTAAAATTGAATAAAGAAGAATAAAAAAAAAAAAAAAAAAAAAAAAAAATTATAAAACAATGGAATGCTATTTTTAGATTGACCTTAACATTTTTCTTGTGAGAACCTGTTAAAGTCAACAGTAACAGGGAGCTAATTGTTAGACAAATACATTTGAGGGCACTGAGGATTATAGACTGAGTACAGTTGAATTTAATGAAAATCTAGAATAGAAGGGATCCTCAAAATCTACTTTGCGTCTTTGCCTCAAAATTTAAAAACTAAAAGGCATAGTTCAAAATTTAGGTCAAATTAATAGTTTTTTCCTTATTTCTGCGATTCTGACACTACACTTTAATAATATTCATTCTAACAAATAACAATTCCTACATGTTTTTAATAATTTTAAGCTAAACAACTTGTCATATTTATTTGTAGTCCTGATGGCATAAAGTGTCGCAGCAAACCACAGTTGGCAAGACTGGTAGGAGACAATATTGACCTCACCGCCTTCGATTTCAGATCTGGCAAGATTTTACAAAGTTCACTACGTAAAAATAAAAGATTGAAGGGAGCAACATTTGACTACACAAGAGGTAAACCTTAACAATAACAAATTGTGTAAAATCATTACAAATACAATATTCCCTTGTAGTACAAATGCAATTCTCCCTTGTAAAATCATTACAAATGCAATACTCCCTTGTCCCTTGCCTTGTGTAGGATGATAAAATTTTGGATTGATATTATCATGAGTGATGATGAATTAGGTAGAAAAATGGATGAATAGAAACAAGAACAATGTTTTAAATTATTAAATGAAATTGTTTATGAAATAAATTTTCCTCAGTCCAACAAAGCAATATTTTACCTTTATGTTTATTGTCTCATTTAAAATGCCAGGATGTAATTCTCAGGATCAACCTCAGGAGAGGTGAACAATTATACATGTATACTTCTATAGTATCCCCACCTCCTCTGTCTTAAACCAGAGACATATAATAACAGATAGGGAAATTGTAAGTCACTCATCTCTTTATTTTATGTCTCTGCTTAAATGCACATATGTTAAATAAATAGCAAAATATATATGTGATTGTAGAAATGTATTAATTTACCTGTACAATGTTTCAGGAGTGAGGCATGATGCTAGTCTAGTTTTACCAATTCGCCAAACAGCTTCTATATTTAAGCAGCCTGTCACAGTGAAACGTAACCATCCACAGTCAAAAACACGTACAGATCTCAAACATGGTCCACAGGACCAGCCAAAACAGGTAAGTTTGCTGGTCTGGTCAATTTAACATTCATAAACAGAATAAAATGGTCATATTTCTTTCCAAATGTTCCAATATTCTGATTTTGCATATATCTTGGCTACTCTAGATTCAGCCTCTTGGACTAGCTGGCTCGGGTGTTTGCTTAATAAAATATGTTACATTATTGATTTTATCCAGTATGACCATGAGTTTATGGATTCATATGAAGAGGACTTTCGAAGATTTCAATTACGTTATAACATAATCTCACAGGATTATGCATTTGAGTGTTTTTCCTATTGTTTTCTCAGCTTTTATAGTACAATAAAATATTGGATGATATGGAGAATTAATAATTTATTTTCCAGTTATTCTGGGAGAAACGCCTACAGGGCCTTAATGCCAGTGACATCACTGCAGAAGTGTTCCAAGTACTAGATCTACCTAGGAGTATTAAAGGTGTGTTTTACTTGTGAGAAATAAGGTTTTTCTTGACTTTCTAAAATAAGAGCAATTTACCTTGCATTTACTCTTATCAGTGATTACACTCTGCTTTGAACAATTATAAATATTACATTTCATGAATTAGTGTTGTAAACATTCAAGTGAAATGGCAATCCAACTCCTATAACACATTTGAGTACCAAATTGTATAAAAATCCAACTAAACTGGGTCCACATTAAATGGATCCTTCTTTACATTTTACTCACAGTAAACTGTATTATATCAAATAATCATTGAATTGAAATGATTTGTAGTTATAGTGGATTTCATGGATAATAGTAATATACATTACTATTACATTACATTACATTACATTACTATTACATTTCATTACTATTACATTACATTACTATTACATTACATTACTATTACATTACATTACTATTACATTACTATTACATTACTATTACATTACATTACTATTACATTACATTACATTACTATTACATTACTATTACTATGGTTTTTATAAGATGAAGTACAAAACCAAGTTCACATATTCTATAAATTGAAGTTATCGGCCTATTTCTATACAAACAAAGTTTTACTGACCTAAGTATTATGTCTATCGTTTAAAATTGATTTGCCCTTGATATTGAGTTTTTGGAAACTTAAAACTGTTTTTATAGAATGAGGTATGGCAAAGACTAAGTTACATGATAATGAAAACACAGAATGAAAACCTGCGCTAAGGGCTGATGTGAATAAGTCAGTCCACCCCATTGGGAATTAAACCCACAAGGCAAAGGCTGAGTTACATGTTCTATTTTTTAAATATTTTCAAATGACTCCAGGTGTAGGCCCTAACCTGACAGATGAGAATCTTCTCCAAAGTGTAGCAGCTGCCCTTCATCTAAGTAATCAGCCCCTCACAGGACAACAGGCCACTAAAGCTCTCATGGACAAGAACCCAGGTGTAAATATCAACACTGATCAACCTTTAATTCAGGTATGTAAAAGCTCTCTGTTTAACATCTGAAGATAAATACTTCAATGTGAACTTTTCATTGTCCTATTTTATGTTCCTACCATTGATCCATTTTAAAATAGACACTCCCAAGTTTGACAATAAGATAACTGAATGCATCACTGATGAATGCTTATTGATCTCCACTCATATATTTGCCCAGTTGTGTTGAGTGGTGTGTTAGGGGGGTAACACAAATACTTGATGCAAATATGTTAAATGTTTGAATAATTATAGCAAGTAAACTTAATGAATAAATACAGGCATTTGTTTATTTTAATCCAGTTAAATCTGAATCCTAAAATATATAAGAAATCATTTTTTATGTCGCTTCACAGTGTTCTTATTTGCTTGAGTGCGTCCTTATTCACATCAGGCCTTATATCATACTTTATGAGGCATTGTTACGGTAAACAGCGATTCCAAATAAAACATCATTTCTTTCGGATACATATGTGACCCCCGTTGTTGACTATTGGTTAGTCTAAGGTGTTCTCATTGACATGATTCTGTCCTACATTTTACACAAACATATTTCAATCTGTATATTTCACAACCCAAATATAGCTATTGCTATCCCCTACTAACAGATGTCCATCATTATCAGTCACCAAACACGTAGGTAGATACAGTCCATCTGATCCTGTTAGGAGAAATCTGATGAACTTGCCATCTGGACTCAGCAAGTGAACCCTGTTGTTGAAGAAGTCAGCCACTATGATATTGTTAGCTGTATCAGTGCATAGACCCTTGGGACAGTTCAGTTGGTTCTGTCCATTTTCGCATGGCCCATATCTGAACAGCTCTTTTCCATCTCTAGTCAAACCTACCACGCAGTTTTCTAGCATGTAAGACACAATTACCACATCATGACTGTTCACAGCTAAATAAACTGGTTCACTGAAACTTTGTGACTTGGTCAGGATTCTACCAGTAGCACTTTCAACATGGCAGACAGCCTTTGTACTCCTGTCATATGTAACAAGTTCACCTCTAGAGTTGACTGCGATCTCCGTATAGCTTTTCAATGTTGGTGTCTTTATCTTTCTACTGTGCATACATTCCTGGTTGTATATACTGACTGTATCAGTTCCACTGGTAAGATATATCTCATTACCTTTAGTAGTGACATTATAAAAACCAACACCAAAAGTACCCTTCAAAGTAAGATCCTTGTTGTAGACTTTTGCTAGCCCACCAGAACATGTAGATATAGCTTCATTTTTGCTAGTTACCGCTATATCCCAAATTTGGGCATTTTGTCTTACTTTTCTTACTATTGTTGGCTTTGGTATTTTGCGATTCATAGCTCTCAGAATGTTAATGTCCACTTTTCCAAACACTATTTTATCATCAAGCACTTCACCTCTCTGTATTTTGAATGTAATGTTATTGTCAAAGTCAGAGTCTTTAGGATTGGACCATTCTTTGGATTTTGAAATGATGTCTTGAGCAATGTTAGCAAGCTGAGTGTCATTTCCATGTTGTTTTAATGCAAATAACTGGCTCATTGCACTCTCAGTGATGGCCTTCTGCATTTGGAGATGTGCCAGATGAGCTTCAGCTTGTTTATCACATATGGCTCTTTTCTCTGCAACTAGATTAATTTCCATTGTGTATTTCTTCCAGATTGCTTGGATAGCAGTGTTCATATCATTGTTCAGTTCATTTGTGACATCATCTGCTTCTTGTTCTATTTTATTTTTCTTGGTGTGAATATTCTGTATTGATTGTTCATAGCTCGCTATCAATTTGCTACCTTTTGTGAGCAGTTCATCAATGAGTTTAATATTGTCCTTCGCAGCTTTATAAATGTCGACACATTTATGGCCAGAATGGTTGATCACGTAACAAGTCGCACAGAGAGCACATTGGTCCACTTGACAGTATGTCTCGAGTGGATTGGTCTTGTGTGTATCACAATATACTACTCGCTGTTGTACAGCCTTAAGTATGTTCTGTTTATCTTGAGTCTTATCAGCTGTAACGTCAAGCACTGTATGGCCAACATGGAATTTTGTGTGATATCGATCACAGTCCTTACAGAATAGTTTGTTGCATTGGATGCATTTGCTCTTAGCATCTATTTCAATATGATCACTCTCTTTACATGGTGTACACTGGGGTTTTTCTCCAATAACATCCATAGATTGAAGTAGATCTACTATTGAACTAGTGGTAAAGTTGACCTTAAATTTTGCCACTCCCCCTGTGGGTACTATTGTGTGTACTTGTCTACATTCTGGGCAGTATAGGGTCAGTTCCCAACCTCGTTTCTTCTTTTCCAGCTTATCCAGGCACTTGCAACAATATGTGTGCATACATGGTAGTGTCCTAGGGTCTGTCAGTGTCTCATAACACACCTTACATTTCAATGTCTCTTTAACGTGTTCCTCCATTGCCGTAGCCATTTTAGAATATCACATTTTAAACATGTGACTAAATAAATAGTTAACAAAAAGAACATACAACGGTATTTTTTCACATACTCTTTATATGATAAGTTACTGATTAACTTATTGTAAAAAATGTATGTTTGGTAAAGATAGAATGAATATTATTTCTACTTGACAAGGTTTTTTATTTATCTATTTCAGAACCTTTTTCAAAGTCGTATATTTTAAATCCAATAACTATCATTTATAAATTCACCGGTTGCTATATTCAAGACAAAAGATAATACAGTGAAACCTGTAGAGTGGAACACCTCTGTAAGTGGAACACTTCCGAGTCCCAAGGCTAACTGACTTAAAATGTGAAACAAACTTTTATAAATGGAACACCTCCCAAGTAGAAAACAATTTAGAGGAACCAAATGTGTTCCATTTAGACAGGTTTCACTGTAATATGATTTGTATTTTGCATTTTAACATGTATCACTGTCTGACATTGTGTGATTTAGATTGCATCTATATTTGTTTTTGGATTTTGAGCAAACTTCATCCAGCTTGAAATAGTTAACTCGTATTTTGAAGCAGCTACCTAATTATATAAAGCTCTATATGTATGTTCTATACATGTAAAGTATACAAATGAAATCTTATGGAATTGTATCTATGCAAATGAGATGTTTCATAAAATACCTTTGCACATAATTTGAATATAATTTAAGTTTGATTTCTTGATTCTGTTTCAGGCATTGGTTGTAACAGACGAAGATATCCGTCGTCAAGAACGTCGTGTTGTTGATGCAAGGAGAAAGCTAGAGTCGATTATGCAGGGCATGGACATGTGAGGGAGGGTGCAATAGGTTAGACATCCGTAATTGATCTTAGAATATATTCATGAAAGCCCATGAAATGATTTGAAATTGCAAGTTTATGAAGGTTGCCTGGATCCGTCATTGAGATGTTTGCTTTGAACTCTGATGGTACAAGAAACACACTGGAACAATCCATACAAATCTAATTTATATGTAATTTTAGACACATCCATGGATGTGTGTTCATTTTTTCGTTCTTTTTTCTCTATGGCAATCCTGTGAAATCAATTTCACAATCCTCAAAAGATGGCATGGCAGATATACATAATTTAAAGAAGAAAATAGTAGATTTGAAAGATGTCACTCCTGATATAAACGTGTAGATTTTGATTGAAATAATTCCCACTGGCATTCTGCAGATTATTGGATATTCCGAATTCGCCTATATCCCTGTATTGTGCTGACATCTTTTGTCTGAATACTGACTCCGTGGTTTTATTTCTGAATGATAAACATTTCTTTGAATCATTTGTTCTATTTTGTCTCACCTGAATCATAAACTGTGTCACTTATAGTCTGACACAGGTGAAATGACTCATAAGTAATTGTTATCAGAATTAACAAAGCAGATGATTTAGTCACGTTTAAAGTCATTAAATATGATGTGTCATATATTTTACAGGTGACAGAGATGTTGAAAAGAAAGTGCAAGCATCATACAAGGTACTTATCCTATCACCCCTAGTTCAATATAGAAAGGACTATATGAATAACTTAATGGACCAGATTAACTCATGAACATAGGGGTGTTTAGGTTTTATATTCTTGTAGTTAAGGATATATGTGAAGGACATGTAGGCCCTGTTGAAGTAAGGCCAATTATACTATGGGCTGCAGTACTAGTATGGTGAACTCCGATCTAAATGTACTAGGGCCCTGTAATCTGAAATATAATGTATTGGTGCCAAGCTTATTCGTGGCCTAATGTTGGAAGTATTTAGTGTACTTGTTAAAGGAGGTATCAGTGACTTACGAAGGTGTATCAGTTCTAATCCCTTCGAGTTGACATGTGTCGTCAAAAATACTAATGCAGTCTTGCTTTTGGCTGTTTATTTAGATCTATACAGGAACATGTCATTTTGAGATAAACACTTGCCTAATTGTTACATAAGATACTTTTATGTAGTACATGGACTACATACTTGACACAAGTGACTTCATGTTAAAAACGCATGTTTTTTTAGTTGATGAATAAGTTAAAAATATTTTATATTTATTCGGAGATAGTAAAACCTGTGAAATGGAACACCTCCACAAGTGGAACACCTCCACAAGTGGAACGCCTCCACAAGTGGAACACTTCCACAAGAGCAACATCTGTCAAGGTCCTATTACCACTTATCTCACTGTAAATTGGATTGCTGTAAGTGGAACACATCCCAAGTGGAGCACTATTTTGAGGAATCAAAGGTGTTCCACTCACACAGGGTTTACTGTATAATTGTTTTGTTCTTTTCTTTTTTATACATTCATGTCTATTTCTTTGCAATTTGAATCTGTACTGTGCCCTTGTCTTGTATACATTTGTCATAATATAATGTTTTCATACTGTAGTTAGTTCACATGATATAAGTGCATGCTGTCTGTAAATAAATGATTTATTTTGTATTTAAAATTAAAAGTTTATTTCTGTTTGTTTATTTAAAATTAATATGCCCAGATTTTCTCATAATGGGCCCAAGTCCTTATTATGTCACCACCACTAGTGGTGACATATTGTTATAGTTTCCCACGTTTTGTGGATGGCATTTGGTATTCGGTGTATGGTGTCTGTAACAAATGGCAGGCTGTGATATTTTGCATGTTAATGCCTTGTTTTCTCCATCAAAATATGTCAATATTTCATCCCTTTGATTATGAGCAAATAGGTTTCAATAGAGTACCATGCAATTTCAAATTTATAACAGAGTACAACACCCCCTTGTTTTGATGCTTGGGGGATCACTGATATGGTATTTTGCAAAATGTATATAGGAAACCTTTTATCCTTAATATAAATGTCTCATGATGAACACATAATAAGGTAATTCAACAAAATCTATTTCCCCCATAACGACATGCTTCCAAACGGTACAAAGAGGTGCCCTTGAAAATCTGCAACTTCGGTCTAGACATATATTTAAAATGCCTGAGATTGCTTTTCTTAAATATTTCTTTATTATTTTCATTCATTAAGTTTGTGTTCCTTTTTTATTTAGTCCATTTGTGCTTAGATTTGCGCCAAAGTGTCAAAAACATGATAAGTAAATGTGTCAAAAAGACAATGATTAATACCAATTTGTAAAGGTAACACTAGTCCATTAGACTATATCTACCAGACCAATAAAATATAAAATATTTTTGCAAGAACAAATCACAAAAACATTTCTTGTTGCCCTTATACGATCTTGTATTATACATTTTGGCATATTCCTTAGCATAGAATAAGCTTTTTGTATAAAATGACAAGCAATGACGTATTACACAAAGTATGTACATCTATATTTCATGAGTTATTGACTTTAAGAGGACAATTAGTTGCATGAAGCGTAATAGATGTGGTTGCTTTGACCCAAATTGTCTTGAGGTTAAAAAGAATCAATTTCTATGTCTAGAAGCCTTGGTTTATATTAATTCATGATGGTAACATCCTATTAAATATACCCAAATTGATCATATATACCGCAACCTTGGGAAATCAATTTCTTTAAAATTCATCGGGGATGATGACATTTAATGTTCTATTTAAGAAGTCAATCACATAAAGGTAGCATTATTATATCTAAGAGTTGTTTTTAAGAAGTTGTAGCATCATTGAGGAAAGGATCAATGTATTTATAATGATTACCACACATAACTGAAAGATTGGCATTCTCATATGGTATAATGGAAATGTCTTTCACATCTTCGTGTCATTTAGATGATTTTCTTCCATAGATCTTTATGACCAATTGCTCTACTATGTTTGGGAAATATTAATTTTTTGCTTCATAGCGCGTATTCTTGATATTAATCCTGCATTGATTTCAGTTAATTTACATCATATTGGTGACTAACGCTACTTCTATTCACAGTCACTATACTTAATAACATTTTACATGCTAAATGAATCATTTTGATATTTGTTTTTCGGCCATCGACTTTTCTTTAGTTAATTCCTATGTATTTCCTTTTAATTGGAGTTGGTTTCAAAGGCTTGTTGTTATTGGGTGTGTGACAGTTAAGCTTCTTAAAACAAAGGTCTCGGATAATTTCCGCTACTTGGAGTAGTGTAGACAATCCCTTGACGAAGGAGCCAATGTTGAACTCGCATAAGACATGACTAGATGAATGAAACTTTGTAAGACCTCCGTCACGAGACATTTTGATTAGTAAACTGATTTATTCTTAAGAGATTCTACACTGCCCTACTTAATTATAGTACAATAAGTATAATTTTATTAGCATCTGAGAGTGGGAATATACCCACATTTTTTTCTGGTAGTTTAATTATGGAAAGATGATTTATATCCTTGGTTTAAGTGGCAATCGTGTCTTTTTAGAGGGACACATTTTTTGAGTGTTCAACCTATCATAGTGCAGCGAATCCAGGCACTTCTTAATCACTAAAGCTAAATTAATTCCAATATTTCAATGATTGCTGGAAGGTATCTCTTGCAAGAAACTGACCCTTTGATAAAACAACAAAGTTGTTATTATAGTCTCCATTTAAATATCAACAGATTAAGAGGCAAGAATTAGTTGAGTATCAGTTATTTACACCGAAAATTAAATCTAGAACATACATTTCACTCTCATACATAGTTAACCCGCAGAGATAATTAAGTCATTATTGTTGTATTTAACAGATTGAAAAAGAAAAGCCAGTATCATAAACCAGTGTAACAGAGGTGTAGGTAACACCCAATTTTTGTAGAAATTCTAGAAAGGTTCAACAACTTTTTAAGTGAAATTACCATGATTGGAGACCCATTTTAAATGTAGGTAATATATTCGTATGATGGGACATTATTGTTCGTTGGCATGTGAGAGAATCATTTGTAGTCGTATCATCTTGTCTATATGAGCTGGGAAGTTGGCTGGCGAGATTTATGACGAAATCTTTACTTTATCTCCGTTCAGCATTATACCTTAAGGTGCCCTCAGTTGTTAATTAACAAAGTTATTTTCTAATTTTCTACAAGATTGCAACACTAAAGTTGCAATGTGGTAATGTTTGCTGAATTGTTAAGGCTTGGAGCATTAATACAACTTCAAATACAAGAACGCCAACACTTTGAATATTTTATTTACCTTGAAATTCATGTTTATCTATAGATTTTTTGAAAAATGTAACCTTTATTGAATAGAAATTATGCTCTTTGTATTATGTTCTCAATATTGCCTAACATGGTGTCTAATTATTTGAATGGTGTCTTCGATTGAGAGTGTCAGTGTCAGAATGTTACGAGATGATTCTTACGTCATATCCTGGGGCACAAATATTCCTTTTATGGTATTACGTCAAGCAAATGACCCTAGGGACTTCTGTCTGCGTCCAGTCTGTCCCGTCTCATCATAAGAGTACATTCATTAGTGTCAGATTATACAATGTTTATGTAAATTGTTCATCTTTATACAATTATGAAATATATTAAATACAAATAAGTTTCATTCCATTTTTAGCATCACATATCTGTAGCATATGATAGAAAAATGTGTTATGTTCCATCAATACAAATATATTAGGCTAAAAATGTAACACAAAACCTCTCTATTTTTGAATATACCATTCATGTAGAACAAAATGAAACTCGATTGAAAAAGTACAATTTCAGAGAATGTCCAGGCCCGTAGCCAGGATTTGCCAAGGGGGGTTCACTTTTTGAAAAATTCCAGGGGGGGTTCACTTGTAACAATTTTGGTCCAAAAATGGCCAAAATCTATTAAAAAGTGCTCAGAATGGTGAAATGCTATATGATTTTGAAATAATATTTGGCCAGGGGGGGTTCGCAGGGGGGGGGGTACCCATCGAACTCCCCCTGGCTACGGTCTTGATGTACAATATTTGTTTCGTACCCTGCACGCAGAGTCTAGTAACAAACTACCCACGAAGATGAAGAATTGCGAAGTCGAACAAACGCAAAGGGTATTGTTTTGGGGTTTTACTTATTAACGCTTTCACATCATTGATAGGCTACAACTGTGTGAAACATTTTCTCTTTCTAATGAATCAGCTGGTTTGGTCAGACTACAATCACACTTAGGAAGGCTCCCTTATGAATCTATATTAGCCTTCTGAGTCATTAGTAGTTAATTTTCACTTTAAATGTGTTCGTTTTTTATAAGAAAAGCACAAGGGAGTGTGATACATTCATTATTCAATAGAAAGGTCCCAAATCATTTTTCTCAGTTTTTCACAATTGTAAATTTTCAAAACATAAATATTTGTTAAGATAATATATAATTACATTTACTTTTACTCAGATATGATAAAATTCTTGTCTCGAAGGAGATGTAAATAGTTTTGGTAGCTGTATGCATCTATTAACACCAATATTTAATCACTAAGGGACATTATAGGAATAAAACTGACCACTGGGCCTTAATTGATGAATATCTGACGATGCAGAGCTCTCCTGTCAATACTACAAGCTTTTAACTTTGTTTTTCTAGTTAATGATTTAACCTTTTATAAATATTGA